CGGCGCCGCCATGCGGACTGCGCCAATGGGACCTGAAGTGGAGCTCCCTATGGTGCCACGAAACGTGTGAGGGGTGTGCCAACATGGGGGCGGCGCCGCCATGCGGACGGCGCCACTGGGACCTGAGGTGGAGCTCCCTATGGGGCCACGAAACGTGTGAGGGGTGTGCCACAGTGGCGCGGCGCCGCCATGCGGACTGCGCCATTGGGACCTGAGGTGGAGCTCCCTATGGGGCCACGAAACGTGTGAGGGGTGTGCCAACATAGGGGCGGCGCCGCCATGCGGACTGCGCCACTGGGACCTGAGGTGGAGCTCCCTATGGGGCCACGAAACGTGTGAGGGGTGTGCCAACATGGGGGCGGCGCCGCCATGCGGACTGCGCCACTGGGACCTGAGGTGGAGCTCCCTATGGTGCCACGGAACGTGTGAGGGGTGTGCCAACATGAGGCGGCGCCACCATGCTGACTGCGCCACTGGGACCTTAGGTGGAGCTCCCTATGGGGCCACGAAACGTGTGAAGGGGTGTGCCAAAATAGGGCGGCGTCGTGAGAGGAGGAGGGGGCAGCGGGAGGAGGAGGAGGAGGAGGAGGAGGTGGAGGAACGCGGGGTGCTGTCTCTTCAAAACAAGGACCCAACACCACAAGATGGCTGGGTAAAACATGGATCCGCGCTCCCGAGGCCGCGATCCATTATAAAACACGGTCAGCCGCGCTCCCGAAGCCACGATCCTTCGTAAAACAACTATGTGTCCGCCCGCGTCCAAGCTTCCAAGCGGCCCAGGCAGGTAACCAAGGAAACCAAGATGGCCCAAGATGCCTCGAAGACGGGCCATGATGGCCCCAAGGCGGCCCGACATTGCCTCAAGACGGCCGAAGAAGCGCCCAAGAGGCCCCAAAAGAGCCCCTGGAGGACCTTCAACAGGGCCTGGAGACGCCAAAATAGTTGGTTCCCCGTGGGTGGTTGCATGACTTTGGCATTTTCGCCTTTTCGGGTTCCCGCTAACTCAAGACAGCCCAGGAAGCCTCCACGATGGACCTAACACGGTCCAAGACGCCCCACGACGGTCACAAGATGGCCCAAGAGGACACCACGAGGGCCAAAGATGCATCCAAGAGGACACCAAGGTGGTCCAAGAGGGCCTCCCGTGGGGCCCAAGAGGACCTTGAACGCCCTTCAACTGTCCAAAACAGCGCCAAGACGGCCCCCCGACGGCCGAAGAGAACCCCGAGGGACCCCCCCCAGACTGCCTCACAGGAGGCCGCGACAGCCTCCATCAGGCCCAAACGAGTTCCATGAGAACTCCTTGCGTGAAGAAATGCCCAAGCGGGTGCAGACGAAAGGGGTCACGAGTGGCGGCCTTCTCCTTCCTCCTCCTCCTCCTCCTCTTCTTCCTCCTCCTCCTCCTCCTCCTCCTCCTCCTCCTCCTCCTCCTCATCATCATCATCATCATCATCATCATCATCATCATGTAATCACATCATCATCATCAATCATCATATCTCATCATCATCATCATCATCATCATCATCAACATCATCATCATCATCATCATCAGCATCATCATCATCATCATCATCATCATCATCATGATCATCATCATCATCATCATCATCATCATCATCATCATCATCATCATCTCACCATCATCACCATCATCACCACTACAACCACCACCACCACCACAACCATACTCACCATCATCATCGTCATTATCATCGTCATCACCATCACCGTCATCGTCATCATCACCATCTCGTATCTCCATTACCATCACCATCATCATCATCATCAACAACAGGCATAATCATCAGAATAATCATCATCACCATTATCACCATCATCATCATCATCGTCATAATCAGCATCCTCATCATCATCGTCACAAGCATCTGCATCATCTGCATCATCGTCATCCTTGGCAGCTGAAGCACCATCATCCTCATCCTCATCATCATCAGCAGCATCTTCATCCTCATCAGGATCATCATCATCAGCATCATCATCATCAGTATCATCCTCATAGTGGACATCATCATCATCATATCGTCATCCTCGTCGTTGCCACCACCACAAATAGAACCACCACAACCACCTGCATCACGATCGCCATCGCCACCATCGGCGTACTCATGATAAAAAACAACAATATAAACGGAATTCAAATCGTCAACGACATCATAATCATACTAATCACGGTAATACTTTTTACCACCATCATCATCATCATCATCATCATCATCAGCATCAGCATCATCATCATCATCATCATCATCATCATCATCATCATCATCATCATCATCGTCGCCACCCTTATCATCAACATCATCATCATCATCATCATCAACATCATCATCATCATCATGTTCGTCATCATCATCATCAGCATCATCAGCTTCATAATCATCATCATCATGATCATCATCATCATCATCATCATCATCATCATCATCATCATCATCATCATCATCATCATCATCATCCGAAGCAACAGCAGCAACATCATCATCATCATCGTGGCCACCATCATCATCATCATCAACACCACAACCACCACCACCATCATCATCACCATCATCATCATCAGCATTATCAGCATCACCATCATCATAATCCGTCACCATCGCCACCACCAACACGAACACCAACACCAGCACCAACACCACCACCCCAATCATCATCATCATCATCATCATCATCATCATCATCCTCCTCATCATCATCATCATCATCAGCATCATCAGCATCATCATCACCACCATCACCATCACGGCTCTCCCAAGCCTGGAGACGCCAAGTGTCAGACTCAAACGGCCTCCCGCTTCCCCCTCGAACGGTCGCCACCCAGAATGGTGGGTTGGCACGGTGGCGGGACTCGCCGCAGGCAGCTCGATAGCCAGTGCTCCCAGATGTGCCGCACTTCTCCCCCGCCTGGTTGCCTGAAGCCTCGGCGTGGGCGCTGGCGTGGGCGCTGGCGTGGGCGCGGGCGTGGCCTGGCTGACCAGGGCCACGGCCGCAAGTCGCGTTCGCCGCAGAACTTGCACTGCTCAAGGGCCCGGCCCGTTGCCCGCCGCCTTCAGCACACGGCCGGCTCCGCTCTGGTCTGCACCGCTGCTGTCCCTTGTAGCAGCTCATACCGCGCCGCATTGAATGCCCCTGCGAACTCTCGAGCACGTGAGCGTGGTCGTCTCGGTGGTGTTCGCGTGGCTGTGCTGGGTCACCCTGGCCTTCTCTGCGGCCGAGCGCTGCAGCAGCGCGGACACCTCGGCATCGTCGGCCTGGCACGATCCGTCGGCACAACCCTCGTCGGCCAGCGCACGCGCGGGCAACAGCAGCAGGAGAGCCACAGCGAAGCGCGCCATGGGTCCGCGCCTTCGTATCTGAAGCCGGTCTGCAGCCGCCTTGGGCCAAAATCGCTGCGGAGGCGAGGAGTGAGCGGCTGGGGGTCGGGGGCCGAGGCTCCCCCGCCTGAGCCTATCCCCGCCTACAGTCCATCGACCACCAAAAAGAGCGCTGCACGAGGAACGAGGCCCTTCTCTTGGCCCCAGAAGCGAGTGGGGGTGCACGAGAAGCGCTACAGGAACAAGCATGCAAGGACCTGTAGGAACAGGCGAACCACTCCCTCGTTGAGTGTCTTGGCTGCATGGTTGCCCCTGGTGGCCCAAGCGAGCGGGATTCGAAGAAAAACCGCCCTAAACATAAACTTTTGGCGCACCGCGCGGATGTGTTGGATCTGCGCTGCCCCCCCCCCTCCCTGGCGCGCGGAGCGCGCTAGGGGCGGCGCCGGAGGCGCCGACAGGGGGGCCCCGGCGCGGATCCAAGAAATCCGCACGGAGCGCCAAAAGTTTTACGTTCATGGCTTCGCCCTTCTTCGAGGACATCGACCCAGGATCGGCGATGCATCGTCGATGGATGGCGGCAGGCCTGCCGAACCCGCACGATCCTGGGCGGGGTGGGCCGTCGGGCCCCTGTCGGCGCGGTGGATGCTGGGGGGGCGAGCGCAGGGGGGAAGCGCGAGGGGGGAAGGGGGGGGGGGGAGGAAGGAGCGGGGGAGGGAGAGTAGAGAAGAGAGAGGGAGAGAAGGCGTGGGGAGGGAGAGGACAGAAAGAAGGGAGGAAAGGGAGGGGGGGGGGGGTGAAGGGTTGGGGGAAGGAGAAGAGGAGGAGAGGGGGGGGAAAGGGGGAGGGAGAAGAGAGGGAGGGGGGAGGGGAGGGGGGAAGAAAAAGAGGGGAGAAAGGGGAGGGAAGGGGGGGGAAGGAGGTGAAGGGGGAGTGGGAGGAGTGAAAGGGAGGAGGGGGGAGGGACGGTCCCTTTCCCGGCAGAGGGCTCGGAAGGATCAATTTTGCGTTCCCACCCCCAGCGTTTGTCATCGGTTTCGACTGCCGGGCGGGTGGCATATAATGGGGACCGCCACCACCACCACAACCACAACCACGCACACACGCACGCAGGCACGCGCACCAGCACCCACCACGCACGCGCGCGCCGCGGAGCCACAGGCTCGCTACGACACGCGTCCGCGGACAGGGAAAATCAGCGCCATGGTAAGGGATGGGAGGGAGAGGTAGGACGTCAGATATGACGCGAGCGCACATAGCTGACCCCCCCCCTCTTCCGCCCCCCGTCTCTCCTGTCCCTCCCCCCCCTCTCCTAGGGGCTGACAGGGGGGGTGAGGTGCCGAGCACTCTGAATTAGTCAGTGCTCCGCCGCCGCGGCGACGGCGGCGACGACGACGACAGCGCGACGACGACAACGACGACGACGACGACAGCGGCGGCGGCGGCGACGACGACGACGACGACGACGACGACGGCGACGACGACATTGACGACGACGTTGACGACGACGACCACCACCACCACCACCACCACGACGACGACGACGACGACGACGACGACGAGCCATTGCCGCGGCGGCACGACGCTGCGAGCTGCAGCCGCGGCGGCGGCGGCGACCGCGGCGAGCCGCCCTCTGCCGCGGCGGCAGCCGGCGCGCGCGCGCGCCTGCTGGGCGCCGCGCGGGCTGCGCCCCGCGCTCGACACCGGCGAGCCCGCACCGAGGCCGGCGTCGGAGCCGCCGTCGAGGGCGCCGTCGGAGGGTGCGGGGCTGAAGCTGGGCAGCTCGCCTCTGGTGGGGGGAGGACGGCAGGCGGCGGCAGTCGGCGGCTGCCAGAGGGAGCATCGTGTGGCCGATCCCTATCCCCACGGGCGTGGCCCGAGCCCCGCTGGCCGATGTGCCGCCCCAGATGAGGATGCATAGGCTGTTCCCTTCGAGATCTGAAGGGCATGTCCCCAACTGGGGCGGTGGGGTGGTGGGGGCTGGGGATGGGGATGGGGATGGGGATTGGGATCGGTTAAACGACACTTGGGACGCACAAAGACATACTAGTACCATATGTTTTCCTTGGAGGCGCGCGTCCGACCCGAACATATTGTATACCCACCTTGTAGTAGATCGTCTCCCGAGCGGTGTGGCCAGAAAGCGCCCGCCACGACGCATATACTGTAAAATGTCAAGGTCCCCTCTTCGCCCCTGGGGGGGCGACGCACGCACAGTACTAGCATGTTGGGGTGCCGCCGAACACTGACAGAGGTGTCCCTGGCCCCGGAACAGTGGTGCCAGAGGGGATCTGAACGAGATGCTGTTGTGGCAGAGGCTCCGCCGACGCTTGCAGATGGACGAACCCCTTGACACGCGGACCAGGTCCGAGCTAGCCGCCAAGCGGCTGCGGCAGGTGCGGCGCTGTAGCTACGGCTCTCCGCGCCGCGTGGCAGCCCCTGGGGCCACGTGCGCCCCCGGGGCCGCGGAGGCCTCCGTGGGAGGTGCGCCCTGGGCCAGCGACACCTCTGGCGACACCGGAGGCAGCGGCGGCTGCGTCCCGTCACTCTTCGACGGCGCACTGGGGGGCAAGCGAGAAGGGCTGGGCATCCTCAGAAGGCTCGCAAGTACCCCGGGCCTTGTGAGAAGTTTTTTCTCTGCCTTCCCCGATGGTACAGAAATCTTCTCAGAAGGCCGGAGGGCTTCAGAGAAGCCCCACTGCCTTCCGAGAGGGCCTGCCCCTTTTCATTACCCCCCTCGCTCGCCGACGACAAATATATCCCGAGCAAATTGGATCGGACGATCGCACCGCATCGCCCATGAATCGGCGATGCGTCGGCGTCAGCGACGTCGGGATGGCGAAAAAAGAGTTCCGAGGCCGGCCATATCGCCCTCCGCATCTAGTCCCATCGCCGATGCGGCAGCGATGCCCCATCTACTGCGAACCCGTTGGTGCGACCTGGACTCGGGGCTCCTTTCCTTCATGGCGACGACGGGACTCGTCCAAGCAGGCCACGCACGCCGACCATGGTAGAGGCCTCCTAGATCTGGCCCGAGCAGACGGGATCGGAGGATCGCGCCGCATCGCCGTTGCGTCGCCGATGCATCCGCGACGCACTGGCGACGTCGACGTGGAGAAAACTCGGCTCCACATCGAGCCGCATCGCCGATGCATCGGCGATGCGGCGCGATCCACCGGCCCCATCTGCTCCGACCCCAGCTGGGAGGCCCAGAGACCCGGCGGGGGGGGGGGGCGCGCCCCCGGCGGCGGCCCGCCCCCGCCGAGCCCAGGGCGGTCCTTCTGTCAGCGCCCTGGACCGCAGGGCTCGGGCTCTGCCACTGCCCCCCGGCGCCCACCCCTGCCTGCATGCGCCCCGACCCCACCACGATCTCGCGATACTGTCGCAGCCTGGACCCCTCCCCCCCGGAGGCCTCGGCGACCTCACCCCCGGGGCTGGCTCTTCCTCGGCGACGCGCAAGACTGGCCCTGGGCAAGGGTGACCTCTGGTGCGCGGCTGCCGGGGTCCGCGGGGAGGCCAGACGCCCAAGCGCGCAAGCCCGTGCTGGGGGGGGACCCCTATGGGCCCGCATCCAGGAGGTCACTGCAGCGAAGGGCCACCCCTGCGCGTAGCCGATCTCACCCCGCCGTCGCTCTGTGTACCGACGCCCCGCGGGGGCTCGGCGAGAGCACTCCCTCCCGGCAACCCAATGACGAACGAGCAACGCGCACCCATACCCACAGGGGGGTCGTTGGGAGAAGGACGGGCTATGGGTATAGGTGCGGGTTGTCGGACCCCGAGGAACGCTCCCGTTCGAGCGGGGACCCCCGTCCGACAACACGTATCTCCATAGCCCTCTCCGACCCCCCTATGGGTATGGGTGTGTGTGTGTTGTTGCTTCGTCAACCCAAGAACCGCCGATTAAGGAGAAAAAACTCGAGAACGCCAATCCTCGGCGCGCCAGCGTCTCGGCGTCTCGCCGCCGCCGCCTACTCCGACCGCCCGCGGCCGCCCGCGGGGCCCCCCCCCACACCCGACGGGGCCTGCGGACGCGGCGCAGGCGGCCAGCAGCTCGGCGGCGCCCGGGATCCCGCAGAGGGTGCTGCGGAGGTGGCCGATGGCGTCCTGGAGGACCTGCGGGCGCAGGCGCCGCTGCGGGCGCGGGAGGGGAGGGAGGGGAGGTAGGGGAAGGGAGGGGAGGGGGAGGGGAGGGAGGGAAGGGGAGGGGAGTGGTGTGGAGGGGAGGGGAGGGTGAGGGTAGGGGAGGGGAAGGGGAGGGGAGGGAGGGGGAGGAGTAGGAGAAAGAGGAGGAGAAGGAGGACCACTGCGCAACCAAGACTCATCAACGGTGTGGCAATACCCTCCCTCCAAGTCCCCTCTTCACAAGTACATTCAAAGATTCATTGTCCTTGAGAGAAAATCCCGGTGGAAGACAACCGTCTAAAAATCCTACACCGTGCCAGAACGCCATTCATGGGACTGTAACGCCGCGAATCCACGATACGGTTGCGTCCTGACGATCCTGAATCGTGCCATAACACAATTTCTGGGACTGCAACACCGCGAATCAACGTAACTGCTGCGCCCTGACAATCTTACATCGTGTCAGAGCACCACTTCTGGGAAACAAGCCATAACAATCCTCGAACATGCTGTAAACTCTCAAACGAATCTGCGCGGCGCTAAGGCGAGAGCCACATTGTGAAAAGGTACCGCCCTCGATCGGTGAAGCTCTGGCAAACCTTTAACACGAATGCATGCGGTGCTAGGGCGAAGAGACACATTTTGAAAACGGCCCGCCCTCTATCCGCTCTCCGTCCGCGAAGCTCTTGCAACTGTTTACGAGGAGTGTGCGCGGCGCTAAGGCGAGAGCCACATGTTGGAAACCGGCCCGCCCTCCATCGGTGAAACTCTTGCAAGTTCTCAGCTTAAGTATCGTACATGGTGAGGAAGTTTCAGGCGAACGCCCAGCCCGCCCTGCCGAGGAGGAGGAGAAGGAGGAGGAGCAGGGGGAGGAGGCGGAGGACGACGACGACGATGACAGCGACGTCGACGAGGATGAGGACATACACGGTGACAGGAGGAGGGGGCGGAGGGAGGGAGAGGCACGGAGGAATCAGGAAGGAGGAGAAGGGGGGAGGCAGAAGGGGGGGGGAAGGGGAGACCCCGAGCTCAGCCGCACGGCCCGGAGGGCGGACATAAGCGAGGCCTGGCTGGAGGCTCGTGACCCAGGGCCGAGCTCGGCCGCCCCGCACCCCTATGGAGGGTGGAGGACCCCAGGGCGGCGGTGCCGTGGGCAGCGGACCGAGGCGACGGCGGGTGCCACCGGGGGCCCGCGCCCGCGCGCGTGCCACTGCCGCATCCCCACGCGCCACCCCGCGCGCCCGGGGCACAGCATCGGCCTCTCCTCCTCCTCCTCCTCCTCCTCCTCCTCCTCTCCTCCTCCTCCTCCCTCCTCCTCCTCCTCCTCCTCCTCCTCCTCCTCACTCCTCCTCCTCCTCCTCCTCCTCCTCCCTCCTCCTCCTCCTCCTCCTCCTCCTCCTCCTCCTCCTCCTCCTCCTCCTCCTCCTCCTCCTCCTCCTCCGCCCCCTCCGCCCCCTCCTCCTCCTCGCCCTGATGTGGAGGGGGGCGCGAAGGAGGAGAACGGGGAGGAGGAATGACGAGGAGGGGTACGGAGAGGACGAATATCGAGAGGGCCGACGACGGTGCCGGCAGGAGGCGCCCGCCGACGGAGGAGAGGCCGCTGGCGGCACGCGGCTGCGCCACCGGCGGCACCCCCGAGGCCCCTGGGGATCCCAGAGGAGGTCACCCCCCGAGGCTCCTGCGGAGCCCCTGGAGGCCCAACCCCCAGCATGCGCGAAGACAACCCCCTGAGATTCGACGTCGTGGGGGGGGGGGGGGCAAAAAAACGCGACAAAAATCACCACCGGAGCCATAGACCCAGTCTGTCTGCGGCATCCCTCGAGCTGGATCGATCCGTGAGCGTCCAGGGGCACGAAAGCAGGCGAAGTCGGCCCGTGCGCAAAAGCTGCGACGCCAGGATCTCGGGGTCCTCGCTAGTCGCCCCTCCCCCTCCCCACGCGCGCCCGCCTGCATGTCCTCATTCTCGGCGGTGCTCGGCGTGCTGGCCCATTCGAAGGTCTTGGAGGCCTCCCCATCGCCGCCTCTCCTCTCCACCCCTCCTGAGGAGGAGGAGGAGGAGGAGGAGGAGGAGGAGGAGGAGGAGAAGGAGAAGAAGGATGGGGGGAGGAGGAGAAGGAGGAGGAGGAGGAGACCGAGGAGGAGGAGACGGGGGATAGGAGGAAGAGGAAGAGGAGGAGGGGGGAGAGGACAGAGGAGGAGGAGGAGGAGGAGGAGGAGGAGGAGGAGGAAGAGGTGGGGAAATCAAGAGGTACCGATACCGCTGCTCCACGGCCCTCCATGGGTGCGTTCTGACCAGAGCTTCGGGGCGAATTCGGCCTTGGCGACGAGGGCATCTCAGGAGGGAGGCGCCAACAGGGCCAGGGCAGCGGTATCGGTACCTGTTCGTCATCTGACCTTCACCATCCCCTCCGATTCTAATAAAAAAACATCAAAATCAGAAACTCTCGGAATTCAACGCGGATCTCCTGGACTGGCGCTGAACCCCTGGCGGCTCCTCCGACGCCGCCGCTGGCACGCTCCGCGCGCCAGAGCGGGGGAGCCCAGCGCCGATCCAAGATCCGAGAGAGCCTCCGACAAGTCATGCTCTTCTTCGAGTTTCCTTCGACATTCCCGCACACCCCTCGAGGATCGAGGGTCGCTGCTTCTCACGTTCGCGGCCCTTTTGGAGAGGAGACGCCAGCGGCCTCCGAACGCGGAGCCGATGGAGCCTGCAGAGGCGCCCAGGGACCTCCGCAGGCCCCTGGTGACCAGAGACCCCGCCATTCTCTACCGATTTCCGCTTTCATCTCCACCCCCCCCTTCCCGCCCCCTCCTCCTCCTCCTCCCTCCTCCTCCTCCTCCTCCCTCTCTCCTCCTCCTCCTCCTCCTCCTCCTCCTCCTCCTCCCCCCTCCCCCTCCCCGCTCCCCCTCCTCCGCCTCCTCCTCCTCCTCTCCTCCTCCTCCTCCTCCTCCTCCTCCTCCTCCTCCTCCTCCTCCTCCTCCTCCTCCTCCTCCTCCTCCTCCTACTCCTCCTCCTCGTCCCTTCTCCTCCTCCTCCTCCTCCTCTCCTCCTCCTCCTCCTCCTCCTCCTCCCCTCCTATCCTCCCCCCCTCCTCCCCAAGTCCCATCCCAGCAGCGTCGGGCATAACAATCCCATGAATCCTAGCGCCTGCGAACCCAAGCTTGAGCCGCGTTCTACTAGAAGCAGATCAAACAAGCACGTCTCTCGTATGATGCACCAATGTCCCAAAGATGATGAAAACATAAATCTGCAAATGCATGGAGACTCGTGCGAGAGTACAATCCCTGGTCGTCGAAAGCGCAACGCCTGAGAAAACTGTCAGGAAGTCCCCGGCGAAAGCGAAATTACCAACCCCACCAGCCCTCTGGGCGAAGGTGGCATAACGCGTTCGTCCGCCCCGTCTCTCTTCCAAAACCCCTCCTTCCCCTATCCAGAGTGGGACATCACAAAAAGATGCAAGGCACGTCAGAGCTCTAACGGGCGGGTCGGGTGGGGCGGGCGGGGCTTCAAAGTCTGATGGATAATCGAGCTGGCACGTAAGAGCCCTGACGAATGGATCGGTCGCGCGGGCGGACCCTATCAGGCGATTCTAGTCGGGCGGAAAGGACATCGAAGACGTCGTGGTCGTCGCCGCCGACGTCGACGTGGATCGTCCTCGTCGTCGACGTCGTCATCGTCGTCACCTCGGCGTCGCAGTCGTCATCTCCGTCGTCGTCCGCCGTCCGTCGACGTCGTCATCGTCGTCATCGTCGTTGTCCACCGGTCGCCGTCGTCGTCCGTCGTCGTCGGTCGTCGGTAATCGTCCGTCGGTCACCGGTCATCGGACGTCAGTCGTCGGTCGTCGTCGCTGGTCGTTAATCGTCGTCATCATCAGTCGTCGCCGTCAGTCGTCCGTTGTCCGTCGTCCGTCGTCCGACGTCCGTCGTCGTCGGTCGTCGTCGCCGTCGTCGTCGCCGTCGACGCCGTCGTCGTCCGTCGTCGTCGTCCGTCGTCTCTCGTCTGTCGTCGTGCGTTCATCGTCGTCGTCGTCGTCCGTCTCGTCGTCGTCGAACGTCGAACGTCGGTCGTCGGTCGTCGGTCATCGGTCACTCGTCGTCGTCGTCACTCGTTGTTGTCGTTGGTCGTCGTCGTCGTTGTCGTCGTCGTCGTTGTCGTCGTCGTCGTCGTCGTCGTCGTCGTCTGTGGTCCGTCGTCCTCGTCCGTCGTCCGACGTCCGTCGTCCGTCGTCCGTCGTCGTCCGTCGTGCGTCGTTCGTCGTCCGTCGTCCGTCGTCCGTCTTCGTCGTCCGTCGTCGCCGTCGTCCGTCGTCGGTCGTCGGTCGTCGGTCGTCGTCATCGCAGTCGTTGACCGTCGTCCCCCGTTCGTTGTTGTCGTCGTCGTCCTCGATCGTTGGTGGTCGTCGTCGTCGTTCGTCCTTCGTCGTCACTAAGGAGTCATTCATTGTCGGTCGTATGTCGTCCGTCGTGAAACGTTCGCTGTCAGTAGTCATCGGTCGTCGTCCGTCGTCGGTCGTCGTGTTGTCGGCGTCGTCCTCGTCCTCGTCCTCGTCGTCGTCGTCGTCGTCCTCGTCGTCCGTCGTCGTCCGTCGTGGTCGTCATCGTCGTCATTGTCGTCGTCGACGACGCCGTCGTCGTCCTGGTCGTCGTCATCCGTCGTTCGTCGTCCGTCGTTCTTCGTCCGTCGTCGTCGTCGTCCGTCGTCCCGCCGCCGTCGTCGTCAGGGTGGCCGTCGTCGTCGTCGTCGACGTCGTCGTCGTCTCCTGGCGCCGGTGCTTGCCGTCGTCGTCTACCGGCAGCGAATACGGGCGGGGGGGGGACCCCTTTCCTTTTTGCGCCAGGGCGGCGGGGTTCCGACCCTCTCCACTTGCGCCGGGGGGGCCTCACGCCAGTGCAAACAGGAGGCGCACCTCCTTGTCTGCTGGCCTACGCCCCTCCTCCAGGCAACTCCTGTCGGCATCGTTTCTGAATAGGCTGGTGGAGATGCGCGAAGCGTCAAGAATTTCGAGTCCTGAACACATGTCAAAGAAGTGTAAGAACACTGTTGAATCAAGAAGACTGTCCTGGACATACTTAGAGTGTAGTCTTCAGAGGTGGGACTTCAACATTCATTTAAAGACTGCTCCCTCTGCGCTGCTCGCGAGCCACTCAACATGTCTATCCTAAACCTAGGTACCCGACCGCTTCGTCATCGATCGTACCGCTTTGGGGGAGTATATCTCCACTGCTTGCCCCATGAAGTTGGCGGGGCCCCTGAAGTCAGAAGGCGAGGGAAGATCGAAAAACACATAGATCAAGGAAGGGAGGGAACGAGACGGGAGGGTGGCAAGAGGAATTGAGCAGGGACCGACCGTCCCGGCATTCCAATAGTCCTACCACGAAATGTTCTTAGAACCCAAAAATGTTCTAAGAACAAAAAACAATGCTCTTAGAACATAAACCCGATGATTTAAACCAAGACGCTCCCGGCCAGAAATGTTCTAAGAACATTTCGTGGAAACCACACAAGGCCCTTAGAACATTGATTGGTAGGGCTATAGGCGAGCCAGGACGCTTCGCCACTGCTTGAAGGAAGGGAGGGAGGACTGAGGACCACAAAGCCTTCGCAGGAGACAGAGGAGAGAGGAGCAGAAAGACTGGCAAGCGGACCTTCACGGGCGGGCCTGGCGGGCGGACCCCGCGGGCGCGTCGGGCCCTGACGGGCGGGCCGAGCGGGTGGGATAGTAATAGAGAGCAGAAAAATCACCCCGACACGCGAAGTCGTTGAGCAGACGCACCCAGAGAAGGAATCGAACAGGGCAGGGCTGTTCAGTCAACGCCCAGGGCCGCCCAGCAGACGCCAATGATCGGGTCCGGGTGGCTCTTCTATTCTCCCCCCTGGAGTGAGAGCGGGCGGGCGGGCTTCCACGCAAACGCGCGAGCTGACCTTACCAGGGAGAACGGGTACTGAAGCGGACGGGCGGGCCCCCGAGCAAACACACGGACTGGCCTCAACAGGTAGAACGGGCGCCGGGCAGGTCCCGGAGGGCGGGTCTGGCGGGCGCGAACCCTGACGGGCGGGCCGTTGTTGTCGAGCCCTGGGGCTCGGGGGCACGCCTTGAGCATCAACACTTCACCTCACAGGAAGACAACAAGGTGCTAGCCCCTCCCAGGGGGGGGGAGGTACCTCCATTGACAGGGAAAAACTGGGAACCGGGGGGGGGGCAACCGCCGTCATCCTGCAGAAGCGAAAGCTCAGCAGAATCAACCAACCAGCAGACTCTGCGCGCCCCGCCGGACCCCCCCCTCGAGACCGGCAGCGAGAACCGCTCCATGCGCCCCACGGTGTCCGCCCGGCGCGGCGACAGGTGCTGGCTCCCGTCGTCGCCCTCGCTGCCGCCCCCAGAGGACCGCGCCGTCGGCGAGCCGGCCGCGTCTGCCGTCTGGGGTATCGCGGCGGCCCCGAAGTCGACGACGGCGACAGTGCGACAGTGCAACGACGACAAAGAGGACGACAACGACGACGACGACGACGACGAAGACGAAAAAACGACGATGAAAAAACGACGACCGACGACGACGGCGACGGCGACGACGACGAAAAA